GTATCAATTAAAAGGAAAAATTCTATAGATTCCTATTTCTATTTTTTCGATCATTTTTAATCGTTACTTTATGATTTTTATTTTTTTGATCATTTTTAATCGTTATACTATGATTTTTATTTTTTCGATCATTTTTAATCGAAAATATGATTTTAATGTTTTCGATCAAAAATAGAAGTTATTCTTATGCCGAATTTCCACTAGGCATTGAAATGGCAAAAAATGTATGCCATTTAAAAAAATGCCATGTGGAAATGAACTTAATGACTATTTTTTTAATGTAATGACACGATTATTTTTTAATGCCCAACTTACAAAGTATACCCCTATTTTTATACTTTTCATGAGCATGAAATGGTATTATAACTTTGGTCCGATGATTGTAAGTACTACAATTAGATGAGACAGACCCATTGAAATGTATACTTAAATGATCAGATCGTCGAGCTTCGTCGATTTAGCCATGTCTGTCTGCCCGTCTGTTTGTATGCAATCTAGTCTCTCAGTTTTCGAGATATCCGGATGAAATTTGGTAGGTGGGTGTATTTTTATAATGCACTAATCATTTGTCGGAACTGGAATAATCGGGCCACTAGAACCTATACCTCACATACAACTGATTCTTCAGATATAAGATTTTTCGCTATAACTCTTCCATTTAAGCGGTTAGGAACATGAAATTTTGCAATACTTCCGCCCATTATCAACAGAATACTTACAGTGAAAATAACAAAGATCGGGTCACTTTTACATATAGCTTCTTTATTACTGATTGTTCAGATATGCGATTTTTTGTTATAACTCCTCCATTTATGTAGATAGGAACATGAACTTTTGCACTGTTTTCACTCATTACTCATTCACTTACAGTGAAAATGGTGAAGATCGGGTCACTATAACATATATCTCCCATACAACTGAGTGTTCAGTTATGAGAATAACGCAAAAACTGGTATCTGAACAATCAGTAGTATAGGAGATAAAGCTTATATAGCATAGATTTTCTCAGTAGACTGTGTAAATTCATGGGTTTTAGCTGTCCATATAAAGGAGTTTCACAGTAAAACCCCATATCTGAACAATCAGATGTATGGAGGTAATAAAAAGGTTATAGTGACCCGATCTTTGTTAATTTACTGTACTTTGTTCATGCACTGTAAACTTTCTGTTGATAATGAGTGAAAATAGTGCGAAATTTCATGTTTCTGGCTGCATATATGGAGAAGTTATAAAAAGAAATCTCATATCTGAACAATCAGTTGTATAGAGGCTATAGGTTATAGCGACCCGATCTTCGCCATTTTTATTGCAATTATTCTTTTGATAACGGGTGGAAATATTTCGAAATTTCATGTGATGTGCCTATCTACATAAATGGAGGAGTTATAACGAAAATTCTCATAACTGAACAATCAGTTGTATGGGAGATATATGTTATAGTGACCCGATCTTTGTTATTTTCACTGTAAGTATTCTGTTAATAATGAGTGAAAATGGCGCAAAGTTTCATATTCCTAGCTCCATAAATGGAGAAGTTATAACAAAAAATCTCATATCTGAACAATCAGTTATATGGAGGCTATATGTTATAGCCACCCGATCTTCGCCATTTTCATTGTAAGTATTCTTTTCATAATGAGTGAAAACAGTGCAATTTCATGTTCCTATCTACAAAAAATAGAAATAGGAATCTATAGAATTTTTCCTTTTAATTGATAC